CAGGGTGCCACTACAATACAAACGGCTGCCTCCAAGGCCTGAGAGACACCCCACTAGCTCACTTCACTTCAACTACAGGATTGCAACAGGGGGCGCAGATTTTGCCATCTTAAGCTGAAATTCAACCTGTAACATCTTGCCCTTTTTTTTTTATGGTTGGCCCTCCTCACACAGGCCATCGCAGCTGGAGTCCAGCTCCAGGCAGAGTCTCAAGACGTGGATTTCTCTTCCACCCCTACTGCAGTTACCGGATGCTCTCCTTTCACTCCAGCTAGCAAAGCTCATCCAGAAAAATCACAGCTGGGCAGGGGAAAACTTCTCTTGCATGCCTGGGAATGAGATTCAGCTGCATTTTGTTGTGGTGTTTAAGTTGCACAATGCAGCTGGCTCATCTATATACCTGGTTTGTGTTGAGGGATGGAGAGAAAGAAAAGGGAAATCCTTCTAATCATGTCATCACAACAAACCAAATGCACAGGATTTAAAAAGCCAAAATTAGGTATCAGCAGAAACACGTGCCACTGCAGCCCCACTGACCTGTCTTACACACTGTACCAAATTTGTCTGGACAAAATGCTGCATTGCATCATCTCACCAGACAGGAAGATTGTAAAAACTGGGATTTTGCAGGACGTGTTTGCACAGAACGTGTGTGCAAAACTGCCCTCTGCTGTTTAGATTAAGACCTGCTCAAAGAAATTGTAGCATGACCAACTCAGTTTTTAGCTGTAAGGGTCCAATTTGTGAAGAGGCAGAACTATCTGACTTCGGCTGTTTTCTGCCCCCATGCACAGTAGGAATTTCATACATGAAAGCCACTCATAACTGTCTTGCAGCACGGACCATCTGGACAGATGTACTAGCTGCAGCAACGCTCCATTCAGCAACTACCACGTAGCAGGTGAGCACCAACGGACACCCTCTCACCCCAAAGATGAGTCAATGACATCCTCAGGGTGTAAGGGAAACGATGGTGACTGTGAGCAACCACTGCAGGAGGACACACATCTGTCACCCCATTAAAGCAAAGCCTGACCTTTACAAAACAGAACTGTAAGTCTGGAGTCAAAAGCTGATGGCACAGAGGCTTGTAGGAGTTCATGATTATTAGCTTACGGCAGTGATTGGAAAACAGGGTAGAGACCTTATTGAAAGATGTCCAGCAAGTAGTCTGCAAAGCTACACCTGTAAGCCCCTACTGCAGGGAGAGAAGCAAGAACCTGGATTTTCTTTTCAAGAACATATGGAAACCACTGCACTTCGAAAAAGCTGCCTGTTACCTAGTTCCAGTATGCTGGACAGTTTGGTAGAGAACCATCACGGAAGGGCCAGCTGTTTTCTTTGCCTTCAGTCACACATTCATACACGGGACATGGCAAAATCTGCCCTCCGAGAACAGCGTCAGATATCCACATCTTCTTTGGGAAGCTCTGTTATGGTACAAAGGCAGTAAATGAGTGCTGTCACTCGCACCAGAAGCTCAGTTTCTAGAGTGCCTCTGATGAAAGCTGGCCCAGTCCTTGTGAATTCAGCATGTTTCAGCTCTTTGCAACAGGCTTTTGGTTAGATTTGACTGTTGTGCTGACAGGCTTTTTTTGGTCACCGCACAAAGGAGACCATAAGCTGAAAGCTGGCCCAGTCCTTGTGAATTCAGCACGTTTCAGCTCTTTGCAACAGGCTTTTGGTTAAATTTGACTGTTGTGCTGACAGGCTTTTTTAGGTCACTGCACAAAGGAGACCATAAGTTATACTGGTCGGTGTAAACACACAAATTAAAAAACCAAACCAAGACTTGGGTACAACAGAAGCCTCGAAGAAACTATTTTTTTTTTCACATCAGCCCTTTTCATATCCGTACGTTTAAAAACATGGAAGCATGGGTGTACAGTACAACACGCCTTTGAAACACTCACTAAAAGCACTTAGTGACCACTTCAAAGCCTCCCTTGAAGTTTAACTCATGTTAATTTTAACACAACAGTCATGTAGAGCCACTGTTCAGCCTAAGGGACTTTAAACACACCATCGACAGATGTACAAATGAAACTTTGGAAAGATTCTTCTGGGTGCATAAATAGCTGGAGCTTTACTTTGATGATGGCTGGCTGGCCTCCTACACAGCAGGGCTGGGATTTCTCCATTTTTAAAGTTAAAGGCAACAATAATATTCTGTCATCCCCCAGGGAAAGGAAATTGGTGCCAGATGATTCAGTGTGTGCCTGATCACTCTGGTTTTGGATTTGATTCCATTATCTAGAAAAGTTAATGGAGAGACATCAAAGGTAGTCCTGCATAATCACAAAACTAGCTGGGGGTTTTTATACAAAAAGCTGCCTGAGAAGCTCATAACTGATGATAGGAGACTTCCCAACGTAAAACTAACAGGCCTCCCATTTCCTTTATGAGAAATCCTCTTAGTGCTGAAAACAAGTGCCTTATTCTTGGAGCACCACAGAAGGGAAGATGGCTCTTTCTGGGAGAAAGATCAGTTTTAGCTGTGGTAAAACAAGATTACAGATCTTATTCACTAGCAGCTGTGAGCTCAGCAGCAGTAAATCCACAACTGGAATGGCTCACTTCCACCTTTTTTTAATTTGCACAGGTGAAAAGAAATATGGTACTCTGTGCACTTAATGCAATGGCGTTACTACTACTGATGCAATAACATCCATCATTATCACTGCACTTCCGATGACCTGCACTTTGCTTATGTCTGAAACCAGTTCTAAATTACAGCCTCCTACATCTGTGGGCTGTGCACACTGGCTACGTAAGTCAGGCTGCCATTGTTGGAGCAATAGCACATTCCCATTCTAGACAGTATCTTCAAGTCTTCACAATTGGTGAAGTATTAGCTTCATCAGATTTTGGAAAAAAATCTTAAGCATTGGTAAAAGGATTAATCATTCCCACCCTATTAGTCAAGGCACTCAAAACAGGTATCAGAGCTTGTGCTACCATACTAACCAGGTACTTCTGGGTTACCAAATATGGAAACAAATTTGTACTTCTTAAGACTTCATTTAAACACATGCTATCTAAAATTGTTTGCATCTAACTTTGCAGGATCAAGAAAATTAAAAAGGGATAGAGTAGTATGTGTGTCTACGATGTTTATTGAAGCAATGACCACTTGTAGACATAACCAGCCTATCACCAAGTCTTCCATCAAAATCAGAAGACATTGACATCCAGGTTTGCTAAAACATACTCGGTTCAGGAGAGCATTGATTTAATTTAAGCTAAATCATGAATTCAAATCGTCATCATTACACCAAAGAGTGTAGAAAACTGTCCAGGTTTGAAGGAAGGGTGTTACTTTTGCCTAATGCTGCTTTGGTTTGTTTTTCAAGGTTGAGAGGAAGAGTTTGTTTTACCTTAAGACAACGCTGAAAGTTGAACCAAAAAGATATTACACTTTAAGCGACCACCACCAGCAAGGACAGCAGGTAAATATGCTAACAGTTCTGTCAGCATAACCTGTGAATTCTTACTTTTTAATTTTAAAGGCTAGAAAGGAAAAGAAAAACTCCTCCAAAAAGCCTCACCATACTCACTAAAAATAGAACCTTCTGCAATTTCATAGTATTTTTCTTAAGGTGCAGGTGCAGAATAACTTTTTCCCTCCAAAACAAATCAAAGGGAAAAGAGCAAACCAGCACTGTCACCTGAAGATTACAGATACTAAGTTTTACTTTTACCTTATGCTACCTGACTAATTCATGCACAACAAAAAGACTATAAACTACAGCCAGCTGTTTCAAGAAATTTTTGTTTGTACCAACCACTAACTTCAGTATTTGTCGCATTACAGAAAGATTCAATAGCACCTCAAATATCGGGAAATCGTGTTTTCAAGGGATTAAGGGGGAAATCTCTTTTCCATGGCAAACAGTCTAAGCAGACTGACTCAGTAAGAGCCATTTCTACTCCCAAACTCAGGTATGGACTGCTAGGTGACCATGAACTATCCACTTAACCTCTGAAAAATGCTATGTGAGGCAATTTCTGAAACCTTGAGACCTATGGGTTTGGAAGAATCTGCCTTCGCAAAAACTTACACCCAGCTGAAAAGAGACAGACAGAGATGGGAATGTTGGCTAAAGCGCTCTCAGAGCATCCCACTTCTACTTGGACTATGCCACCTATTACCTTACTATTAATATTATCAGCATCATTAGCACAATCTATCAGCTGGTCTGAAAGATAGACACATCGAAGCATTCTCCTCCTTTCTTTTCCTTAAGTTAAACAAGTCACCGTGCCAAAAATATAAAACTACACTTTTAATTGTTTCTTCTGCCACCCGTGTGGCGATTGCACAAAACCAGAGAACAGCAGAAGCCAATCTGTTTCGACACTGAGAACATCCTATCCATGGAAAACTTGCTTTCAGAAGTGTGCTTCTGCTACTCACTTTAGTCTGTATATTATTTGCCTCCTTTTCACTGACAAAGGAGAACTTAACCTAAATTCAAGCTTACAGTATCACACCACACCAAAATTTCACAACATCCTTCTAATTCCATTAGTTTTAGCTAGTTTAGCCTGGGGGTATCATTGTCTCACCTTATCAGTGTAATTTTTATTTTATTTTTTTAAGATAAATGCCAAAAACTGTTAACCGCTTTCTACAGTCTTGAAGAGTAGAGACTGAAACGTCAACTGCCTATCTTGCAAAACGGTTTCAAGGTTTCCAAAACACCAACCTTTGTGCACTTATAATCTGCCCCAGGTTCTACTCCAAACAGCTTTATTTCAGACACCTGCATTAACAGAGCTTTCGTGTTTGCCAGACACAGCTTTGACTTGCATCATTTCAGATGTTATTGTTCCTGACAGAAATGGATTTGTCACTCTTTCTGCAGCCAGTCATCTATTATCATTCTGATTTGCATCTCTTTCTAAGGTGATCAGTCACTGTATAAATGATCACGTCTGTTTTCTCAAGAAATGACACAAGGTTTTAAACTTAATTAACAGCATTGGAAGACAAGCCATAACATTAAAAATAGATTTTAATGTTAAGTCATTTTTTGATCATTTGCTCTGACATTCAAATGTTCTGAAATTTAAAGTAGTACTATAGGGACACACAAGTGCAGATAAATCTTTATTGCCATCACTTCGTTTTTTCAAAAATGAGCATTGGGTTTTTAATAGGTTGTAGTTTTATGCCTTTATATGTACAACATTACAACTGCATATTTTAATAATGATGAAGTTAGTGATACTTTGATAACTCAACACAGTGTATTTATAAAATGAATTCTTATCAAAATACACTTTTTCACTGGGATAATAAATAAAATCCTGCGAAACCCACCTACACAAAGTTAATTTTAACTCTGGTAGAACCCGATGTGGTACACAGTCCATTAACTACTATGTTTGCCCCTTTATCCCCCTACTGATGCTCATCTTCTGGGGTAAGAAAACATTTTTTCCCCCTGTTGTGGTGTGACCTCATTCAACATCATCTTCAGCCAAGCACTGTGCACTTACAATTCTCTGTAAGAAGGAGAAAAACTCATTCACAATTACATAAAATTGACAGTAGGCAACTGATTATCAAGCAATGTAATTTTACACTGAACAATAAGCAGTGTAATTACTGAGCTAACTGATCAATGTTAAAAATGGTAATCTGACAGAAGTTTTTGAAGTTAGTTCCACAGAAATTACATACCGTGCAATGCCTAACAAAGCCAAAGTCAGATAAATAATACCCTATCAGCCTCACGTGATGACCTCTGTGTGGTTTTTGGCACTCTTCTCTAAGGAAACGTTTTTTCCTCCATTGTTTCCCCAGACCTTTACAACTTGCATACCCAATAAATACTTTTCAGTGTTTGTACTGACTATGCAGACCTTAAACCGAAACGTAACCAGGCCTGAGCTCTACAGAGAGCTGACTGACGCACAGCACTGAGTCTCAGCTTTACGTGAGGCAACACCGTGACGGAGTACCCTTGCACTCAAGAATGTAAAACATATTACTTATTTTATAATAGACTCATCTGCTATCATATTACCAACGTTACCTGCACAGTACTCAGGCTAAAAAGGGAAAGCATTTTATACACAGAGCTATGAACGTTTTTATCACCAGGGAAACCCCCAAGCTTCCAAAACTTTCATGTGTTCTGATGCTAGTTAACATTTCGTGTTTATGGCTGGCCCAGAAGCAACAGGCTAGCAAAAGGAACAGATTAATTCTAATGGACTTTCATAGCACTTAGAGACACTTGTAGATATATAAGTAAAAAATTAAAACCCAAGATCCAGTGCAAAAAGTTACGATTTTTCTGATGGCCCAACTTGTATTTGGGAAACAGTGGATGCACTTATAGTATCAGAGCTGCAGTCAGACATCTTCTCTACTTTAGAAGAGCTTAGCACACCCTACGCATGAGAGAAGTTTTGTATTTCTATTTTACCCTGTTTGCTACTAATGCTACATGATATTTTTCACATACGCTTTTTAATGTTCCAGGAGAAAAAAGCCTCTTTTAATCTAACTGAACATATTAAAAAAATACACTACAAAAACCAATACTCAAGGCTGATGTAGTGGATAAGAGAAGCAGTTCAATTATTTTCAAACCAAAACAACAGGGAACATTTTGCATACCTGACTTATTGTAGGGAGCTTAGTTAGAAGCATTTGAAACACTGGTGGTGGAAGAGTCTGCTGTAGAACTTGTAGTAGCTGCTGCGGCTGTCCACACACAGCAATGGCATTGGTCAAGTGATCAACACCTTTCTCATATTCACCTGTATGACAAATCATAATGTTTTGAAATCAACCTTCTTTCACACTGTAAAGTGTTTACATAAAACATCCTTCAACAGTGGATTAAATTACTGAGAATCAATCCACCCTTTTATTCCTCCTCTCTTGCTGGATCTTCCAAACACAGAAGGTTAGAAACAAGTAAACAGATTTTTCTAGGTGAGTTTGACTCCCCAAAAGATCTTACTATAGACAAATCATCTTCTAGCAAAGGTAAAGAAAATTATTTTACAACTTAACCCTTCAAAAAAAATTATGCTATTACCTTGAGCTAGTAGTTCCTCGCCAAGCTGAATTTCCTCAAGGAAAAACTTCTGAACTGCTTCAGCATCTTTCAGATCAGGCAACTATAACACACAGAGTAAAAACAAAGTTGGCCCTTACACATCAGTTACTAAACAAGTTAGCAGAAAACATTCCCCAGTGAAATCAAACACACACACAACTGTACTGTTACACTGAAACTGGCAAAAAAAAATAAAAGCATCACCACGAAGTTAAACGTACACAGAATGTTTTTGAAACTCAGGCTCTTTCAAAGTATCACTGCATTATTGAACACAGTATTACCTTGGAAAGCCCTGCTCTCTCTTTGGCAAGCTTCTGTTTCTTCCTTCCTGTAAGAATAAAAACATCTTACGTTTTTAATTTGCAATTAAAAAAGCCTTCAGATTACGGTTCAAAACCGTGAACAAATCAAAGTTATTTCCAAAATAAGAAATTGGTAACATATTCCAAATACTGAAGACTGAACACAAGACTGCAAACCACTCTCTGCACCAGAACACCATTTAGAGGTCTACTGAGGGCTGGCAGCAGCATCCCAGCTCAAAAGGGCAACTCCTCTCTCGCTGGCTATGGCAAACACCAGCGGTGCAGGGCCTGCAGCAGAGCGTACCTCATGCGCTAGAGGCATGAAGAAGGAAAGAGAATTAGAGTAATTCTGCAGGATTTCTAACAATTATAAGCCACAGAAGAACTGCCTACAAGTCAAGGCTATCTAACTTTGAACTACATGGTGCTTCACCAACAGGAACTCTAGCAGATCACAGTACACAGGTGCACTTTCTCAGCTGCTTTAAAGCAAAGACTTGGGAACTACTTAAACAAGTGGCAATATCTCATCATCCCACAGCAAAAGCAATACTGAAGCGTACATTTCTGAAATCTGAGGAAAGCAAACATTTACAGATTTAATTCCCCAACCTAAAAGCCTCGAAGAAACTAGCAACATAAAGTTGGTCTGCAACATAAAGTTGTACCAGTCCAGTAAAACTACTGTAATTAAAATGATTTATAGCTTGTTTTTAATGCAATTAGGCATGTATAAAGATATTTTAAAGCAGAAAGAATAATTTTAGTAATACTGGTGATTTCCTTCAAATAATCATTTTGGTAAATCATCAGTTCGTTAACTGAAACAGTTACACCAATATAGCTTTTAAATACAGCCTATGGTTAAATACCTGTACTCTTACTGTTTGTCCTCAGTGTCTGCTTGATAAACATTTATGTTGACAAAGAACAACTGCTGCAGAGCTCTGATTTTTCTTTTGAGACAATCTTACAAGCAGTTGTAAAAATACGACTAGCAGTTTTAATGGCAACGAGTTAAAAATTTGCAACTGTCCACATGATGAAGACATTGAGGAATATTATTTCCCAGCAACGATAACGTAACACGTGAAATTTATGGACAAGATCAAGTGTTCTTTATATAAATGGAGTTCATATTCTAACTACATGATCACTCTTTTACCTTCTATGATATTTTAATAAGCCTTAGCACCCGAATTTCTACAGCTTATTGACCTGTGTGTGGTATTTTACAACATCACATCCAGAAAAATGTGTCGTATAGAACTGTAGCACATCATAATTTTGGTTGTTTGCAATATTAAAGAAGAATTTGTCTCTTGAAAGCTGGTGCCTTCCATTAGCTCACTCCAAGTTTTCTGAACCATTACTTTGCACAAAACTCTAAACTGCATCACTATGCAAACTGGTTTTGCTAATACAGAAAATCTTAAAGATGAAATAAAAATAAGGAGAAAAAAAAAGTAACACACAAAATGTTTCACTATCAAAACAAGCCACATTTCAACTGTAGTGCATTCAGTGAAAACGTCAAGGCAAAGTACAAGGAGTGACAGCTTAGTGTTTGTACATCATTTTCAGGAGAAAACTGTGTTTTCTTGGCACGACTAATGACATCTTTTAAAGTACTACAACAGGTATCAGTCACCACGTTGAGCATTCAGAAATAGAGAAAAAAAAGACATGCTGGTAACTGCAACTATTTAATAAAAGCTTTTGACCACTGATGGCATGCACATGAAATGATATATTTTAATCTGAAAAGACTAAAGGAATGTGAAGAATCACCAGATTTTAAAATTGAACACTGACCTATAGAATCTTTCAAGTCCAATTACTATGCAATTTTTCTTCATCTTCTTAATATGTTTTTACAGGTCTCTCTCTAAGTCCACTAGCTAAAACAATTACCAAAAAGAAAAAGCTCTAAAGGGTATTTAGGAATTCTTCCTACACTAGTTGGTAACACTAGCTGTAAAGCATCTTTGCAACAACAGTGAAGTTACATTCGTAATACAAGCAAAAAGCAACGGCTTTGGGGAAAAAAAACAACCTCACACATCTAAAAAAACCAACCTTTCTGTTTTCCCTCAGCGACCTCCAAGAAAATGCATGTGAACCCACCCAAAACAGAAAGCTGAACTGCAGCTCTCAAACTGCACGTGGCTCACAGGTTCTTTGGGCACAGCTCTCGTACATGGGGGATAAGTTTCAAATGTGAACCAACGGATAACCCAACGCGCTGGTACGGGTTACAAAAATCCCTGGGCTGCCCCAGCAGCTCCAAAACCAGTGTCACAAAGGAAAAGAGTGACCAAAGAGCCGTCTGCATCTTCAGCTCCCACCCGTGAAGTCTGCCTACTGCTTGCCTCTCGCTCAGCTGTCCCGGCAGAAGGTGCTCAGAGGCAAAGTTCAGCACAGTCAGAAATTCTGGCTGTCTCTGAACGAAGAGATCAGTGCCTACACTTGCATTCAGAACAGTTCTGGTTTATACAATCAAGAACACCAATGGCAAACACATCTAACATCTTACCATCTCAAAAGACAGCTGTGGAAACTAAGCAGATCCAGACAGCTTTGTTGTCTTTTGGTCCCCAGATTAAATATGGACATGCCCCCAAACTAGCAACAAGAAAACCTAAAATAACACAAAATCTGCTAAATAAGTAACACTAAGACATCTGGAAAACCAAAGTCCATCAGTTCTTCAAGTCTCCCAGGAATTTTTTTTTTTTTTTCTTGAAACCTGAATCTGGTCACCTCATTTTCATGATGGGCCTTTGTAACGTAAACTTTGGTCCTAACACAGCACAAAGAGATGTACAACACAACTGGGATGGCAAAAAAAGCACTGGGTCTTCATTTGCCAGCATGTGCTTGACCAAATACAACAGGCAATCCACTGCCATATAGGATCTCCTGACCTTCCCAGATTTTCGTGACATTGCATCACAGAAGCTGAAAAACTATCTTATCCTAAGAATGCTTCTGGAAAAGATCTGCTGTACAGGTGGCTTCTACAAGTTTTTCATCAAATACCCCTACTGCTGTCCGAGAAATAGTATATCATAGAATGGTTTGATTTAGAAGGGACCTTAAAGATCATCTAATATCTTCATCTAAAGAACTGCAACTGGCTGCTGCACTGAACTTTTTTCAGTCAAATATTTTACAGCCCAAGCCTTAAAAAACAGTAAAAGTGCTGTAATACTCAGATCACTGGCACCACTACAGAAGCATCCACACTAAAGAATCAGTTACGGTACTAAAAAACATAAATAAAATTAAATTCCTTAATATTATCTAAAGTCTCACAACTAAAAGCCCAGTGTATCACGTCCAAGGATCATAAGTCACACAGTGACGTCCTCCAAACAACAACAGCCATCCCCTATCAAACCACAATGGTTTTCCACTTTAAAGAAAATGTTAATTCTTAATCAGAGCACGTCTAAGGTTTACTCAGAACATTACTGGATAGAAGCTCAGATAACTAAAACAATGCGATGCAAAAATCTGATGTAATCCAGTATTTTCTCTATTACGTATTTAACACCATAAAAAGAGCATGGCTGACTATACTGCCAATAATCGAGTTTGCTTGTGCAAGACAAGCACACACCAGTTTACTATACTAAAAACTCACAGTGAATGACTTGCACTGCAGAGCAAAAAGTACTTGGAAGGCACACAAAAAGTATGCATCCAAGATCCTGCATACATGAGCAAAGGCCTGAAGATGAAGTATTTGAAAGACACCGTTTGCTGTGGAAGAGCTTACAGAAAGGGGAATAAATACGCTGTTAAGCGTCAACACTGGTCACTCAACAAATTCAATCCATTAAGGCAGAATAAAAGCGTTTAAGTTACATTCAAACATCACCAGGTAAACGATTCATTTTTAACCCATCTAGTTACTGACTCTTCCATCCATGAAACTGCTGATCGCATTATGTTTACTTGTCCAGAAAGTTTACCTGAAAGGTTATTCCTTATCTTCAGATTAGTTATCAAAGGAATACTATACGTATTCCCACAACAGAAACAACCCAGCACAACAAGTATCTGCTTATTTCTCATGATTCATCTGAGTGCCTTGGATGATTTGAGTACCCACGCTTACAGTTACATTTAAAACCTTCACTAATTATCAAGGCATTTAAATAAGTGTTGAAGATGTGAAATAATGAAGAGCCACGGAAGAAGAGCTCTACATTTTGGATTAATCAACAGTTTTCTCTGGCATTCATTCTTATCCTGGAAGCTAATAACAGAGCTACCAGGAGGGTTAAGAATGCAGCAGATGAAACCCGAGAGCTGCCACCGACTCTTGCCTTACCACAGCAACAAATTCACTATAAGAGATCGTACTGCTTTATTTTACGGTCCTCCAAAACAAAAAAAAGATACTGTCACGTAAATGCAGTGGCGATAACAGTATGGCTGAGTGTGTAGGTAACAAGATTTCCAAAAAAATTAAAAAAAAAAGAGGGAGGTGAGTTATTTCCAAGACAAACTTCTGAGGCGGAAACCACAAGTCACCCAGTAAGTACAAAAAGGGCAGAAAACACGGTCGGACGCGAAGCCCCGTCCCCTGGTTTAGGTAACGCGACGACGAGAGGCAACCGACCGCCGGGCTCCAGGCCT